ATACTTTGGTGCTTTCTTGCATCTGTGCTTTGGTGCTTTCTTGCTTTACTGCTTCAGTACTTTCTTGCTTCTCTGCTTCAGTGCATTCTTGCGTACTTTGGTGCATTCTTGCGTACTTTAGTACTTTCTTAAATCTGTGCTTTGGTGTTTTCTTGCTTCTCGGCCTTGGTGCTTCTTGCTTCTCTGCTTCAGTGCTTCTTTCATACTTTGGTGCTTTTTTGTGTCTTAACATTAGTGATTTTGCAGTTTTGCTTTTTTTTTATATTAAGCTTTTGGAGTCTTCATTTTATCTTTATGAAAATTAGTCAAGTTAGGATGATTAAAAAAGCTATTTGGGTTGGAAGATTATTCTTTATAGCAATTTTGCTATTGTTAGGGTATTGTTATGGGTGTATAGGACTGTTTAGTCATAAAATTGTTGTGGTATAATCGTTGGCAAAGTATTTTTTGATTAGGATTTTTTTTTTAAATAAAGTGTGAAGTGGCACCAGATATATAGAGATTATGATATTATTATACAGTAATACTATTTAATGAAAATAAATTAAATTGATATATCATTGATTTTTTTTTAAAAAATAAAAAATTTTAGAGTTCCTCAATGATAGATTTTTTTTTGTTATTTATTTCGTTATGTGATATTTGTGGGATGATCGACCAATCAAAATTAGTCTCATGGGTTACGTGTTCACCAATTTGCTCTTTATAAATCAGTGGTCACATAACTCATATAATCGATTTTGATTGGTTGATCATGGGGTTACCATGGTGATGAGTCGCTATAAACTAATACCCATTTTTTTATTATAAAAACAACTATAATTTTTTGCCAGTTTCTATATAATTTTTTTTTAAAAATTGGTAAAAAAAGCTAATAACACTATATTAGATATATTTATAAATATATTATATAATTTTCAAACTATTTTACAATCTATTACTAGGCTATATTAATCTAGTAGAGATTTAATATTTACTTAACTACTTTTATAGATATCTAATTATATCTTTGTTATATCATCAATATACTATGACTGAGGCTAACACTTGTAATTAGAGTATTCTCTACTCTGGAGAAGTATTGTTATTAAACTGCTATACTAGTAGAAGAGAATTATATCTATACTAATGCTACTTCTGTATTCTAAATCTACTATATCTTGATAAAACTATATTCTTCACTTTAGCTACTTTGTTTCTGTATAACTTTCAAATTAGTAACTTTTGGGTTATAGATCTTAATAATCTTCTAGTTTGATATGCTATATTATTGTTTTTTTTAAAGTATTCTAATATTGGTTCAGGATATACATGCTACCGAAATAGGTTTTCAAAAAAACCCTATTTTATTTCTATTAGAGCAATTTAGAATTTTTTATACAATAGCAAATCTAATTTAGGTAGTTATATTCCTTATAATTTTGTCTTTTCAAAAAAAGTATTAAAAAATTTCATCTTTTAAGTAAAATAGATTAAAAACAATTTTGTCTTCAAATTTTAATTTCATACCCCAAAACCCAAAATAATTTCATAGATATGTATAGTTTAGGATTTGCAAAACCTTGAATCTCAAACCAAAAACTGCTATCTAGTTAGATTTATTATATGACAAAGTTAGTATTTCATTATTAGATAACCCTTTTACTTATCTGCTTAAATACTACTAACCTGTTTTTAAGCCATTTCTGCTATTTTAGCACAACTTACAAATGCTTCAAATCTTAATATTATATAGTTACTTCAATATTTTTTTTTGTTTTTTTAAGTATTATCTGCTATAGTGGGTTTAGGATATATTTCACAAGTATACAAGACAATTCTAATTATATACAAAAAGTTTTACTAACTCTAATAATACTATACTACTATATAATACTTGCTGTTAGTATATTGTTATATAGAACTAAAACAATTCTAGTTATATCTAGATAGTTATACTAACCTAGTAATGTTATACTATTTTTGACTTGTAAACTCCAAAGATTAGTAGATTCTAAACTTATTTATTATAAACTTCTATATAGATTATCAGCAAATTTTTTAGGTAATATATATCAATAATAATTGAGGCAATTATAATCGGTATATAGCACCTCTATTGATTAATAACGTTAGTGATAACTAATGATATTTAACAAAAATACATAATTTTTAGCCAAACTTTGAAGATAAATATCTCAATAACTAGTAATTCAAATTGTCTTAAATTTTTATTACAATTAGAAATGATATTCATTTATAATATATTAATGTTTTATTTAATTTAGCTTAGTAGTTTTTGAGAAATTATTTGTACACGATAGTTAATTTTTTTAAAAAAATCAACTATTGTATATAAGTGATTTTTCAAGAACTATCAAGCTGAATTAACTAAAATTTTAATATTATATAGATGAATATCATTTTTAATTGTAGTAAAAATTTGAGCTAATTTGGATTACTAGTTATTGAGATATTTGTCTGTTTTTAAAGTTTGGTTAAAAATTATAAATTTTTTAAACTATTGATATTAATTAATTTTTGATTTTATTGATTATAATCGATAATAATTGATATATATCTATAATTGATTATAATCAATTTTGTTACAAATCAATTTATAACACATTGACCAATTATAATTGATTATTTTTCATCAATAGCAATCGATTTATCTGATTATAATTGTTACTAATCACCTTAAAAATTTTCCTGATGATAAGACTAGAGCCTAATTTAGTACTTTTATATATACTCAAAATATTAAACAACTTTCAAATTCTTTGCTTTCTATAATATCTTTATTCAATATTGCCAGAGGTGCTTCTAATTCTGCTAAGACCAATCTTTTATTACA